TAATTTAATTGTGTCTTTCGTTAAATTTTTTGAACTTGTTTTCTATTGGCCAATCATATCTTGTAAAATCACGGAATAATCTACAAAAATTAGCCAATCGGAATGAAAGCCCACTATGCTTAGTACTTCCCTGTAAATAATACTGTAATTTAACAAAAGTTAAAACCTGTAAAATAAAAAATACTTCTGTTTTCATAAATTTCAGAACAATTAAAAAAATTGTCCAAACCAAATTGATAAGTTTTTAATTTTGCCAAAATTGGTTAGCTTATATATTTCAAATTCATGACTTGCTGATTCATTCATAACAGATACAAAATTTTTCAGTTGTTCAGATTTTATGAAAAACAGCTATAATCCAAAAAAGCCAATAAAAGAATCAGATTTTATTATTTTTATCTTACCCTCTTGTTCAATCCTATTGTCCAAAAAAAAAAAATAACAATACCTCAGTCAGGCCAGCCCTACTATTTTGTATAAATATGTATTTGTACTTATATTTGTTAATCTATACTATATATTATTATAGATAGAAAGTGTGACAGATATATATGTAAAAAATAACAGAGTGACGAATCCTTTGTGCAAAGAATAAAAAAAAGTTGATAAATAAGTCACGTGGACCAATCAAACTTAAGATTTTGCAAATATACACCATTTTATTTGCTATATAATCTATGCTTCATGATTTGCATCACTCTATTTCTGGTATACACTTTGTAAAATTTTCAATGCATGCTATATATTGGCATGCCTTTATTATACTGAAATGCAAGATTATAATATATGCAGGATAAACAACTATTTTCTAAATTACTGTTTTGTTTATATAGATATATCAAATAAAGCATGTTTTTATAACTAAATGTATCAAAAACATAATGTTTGTCTTACTTATGTAGATACTGAGTTCTTCACTATAATTAAAAATATACAATTGCCTTTAGGTAACTTACTCACAAAATTGTTTCTCCTGTAATTCTTATTCAATCAAAATTAATATCAGATATAACATAATAGTTAAAACATACCAGATATATATAAGAAGTTGCATATAAAATTAAAGCCAAAAAAATTTTTACTGCTATTGTCACAGAGCCTAGTGGGTTCTCATGTTGCTTACCTAGAGATGTGTGAATGCAAGTTTTTTTTGGCTTTACATTACATAATGCAACATGATAAATTATATAATTTTGACTATATTTTAATTAGGATTAGAATTAGAACAATGCATAAAATTTCACAAGAAGTATCCTTAATTGGGAAACAAATGTGGTTTTCTAATTAAAATTTAAAGCTATTGTTTTTTTTTGCTTTTCAATTTAAATATTACACCTAACCTTGAAATTTGATTTGTCAAAATTAAAATGTAGACACTTAGGTTGTGATTTTACTATAATAAATTGAGATTATTTTTAGCAACAGAAATAATTTCAGTAGCCAAAACATTTTCAGCAGCTGGAAATAATTACAGTTGCTAAAATAATTACAGCGAGCACAGCAGCTGAAAATAATTTTAGAATTTTGAAGTGGCATGACAAAAATATAAAAAAAATCAGCATGCCATAATGCTATAAATCCTTCCAAATTTAGATACCTGTGTATATCTATAAAGGGAGAAATTCAAAAGGCAAGCTCCTAATAGATGCTAAATCTAAGTTAATTTTTAAAAATTGATTCAATAAAATAAAAGATACAAATAAATAAATCAAAATTAAATTTAAAAAATTTAAAAAATTTACAAAATTTAAAAATTGATTTTGTACTAGGTAGGATGTGCAGTACCATAAATCTGACATTCACATTGACACCTTGATGACCTCTGTTTATGCCCTTGGAAATGAATTTAGAAGTATTAAATGCAATATATATATATATGCTGCCATATTTTTGGCTTTTGAAACACCAAAGGAGTCTTGAAAACTAATAACGCTATTTGCTATGCAATAATAAAGCAATAATTGATAAAATAAAATTTTAAAAAAATGAAACTAAATATGTAAAATAGAAATGACGATAGTAATTTAAAAACACTTATTATAAAACACACCTATGGTGGTTTTGCAACTATTATATGTTTTTGAATTTTCCAAGTTTGAATATAAAAATTTTTAACACAAAATTTTTATGTTAGTTTTAGTATTTAGGATTAGAGTTAGAGTTCGGGAAGGGTTTTTAGGGGTGTAGAGCATTTTTATTTAGGATTGCATTGATTAATTAGCCAATTTTTGAGATAATAATACATAGGTGTGAAAACACCATAGGTGCATTAATTAGCCAATTTTTGAGATAATAATACATAGGTGTGAAAACACTATAGGTGCATTAATTAGCCAATTTTTGAGATAATAATACATAGGTGTGAAAACACCATAGGTGCATTAATTAGCCAATTTTTGAGATAATAATACATAGGTGTGAAAACACCATAGGTGCATTTTAGTAAAAGTCTTTAATAATATATAATTTTTATTAGTAAACAATAAACTTGTTTTTTAAATATAACGGTATAATAAATCTGGATTAATTAATTTGTATCTGGATTATATATTAAAATCGGAATATCTGAAAATTTTTATATCCAAAAAATCCGAATTAAATTCTGATTATTTAAAACATATCCAAATTGTATCCAGATGATATTTTCTTTAGCATAAACATCAAATAATACTACATACACTAATACAGCACTAAAATCATACCCACACTACATAATAAGGGACACTCACTCAATGGATCGGAAGTAAATTACCCAGTGATTATCACATCACGTGAAATAATCAATTACGTCAATTGTTTACTAACAATTTAGCCTAAACTAACCTATCAGCTAACCCTAACACTAACCCTAGCGTAGGCCGAACACTTAATCATGTGATGTGATTATTATGAAAATATCACTGGGTTCCTTGATTTTCAATCTTCCCCATAATAAATTTAATAATTTAAATAGATCAAACAAACTTCCAATATACACCCATATAAACGTAATATCTTTACAAATTTATTTATGAAAACTAACTATAAATAAATAAAATAAATTTACCTATTATAGGAGGCTAAATTAGAAAGCGTAGCCAACTAAGAGAATAATCAAACTACACAAAAACCACAAAAACACACAACAAAACCAAAGATTGAGGCGGTGATTTGATTTGGCAAGGTAAGGCGAATTGGTTTATGAAGTATGGTTATAGAACCAAATGAATGACAAAAGGTATCAGGTTTTTATTTGAATCGTATCTGTTTTATTTGAAGACGGACTTCAATGCCTTTACAACTATAGCAAATTTCTACTCTATTTATACAGAAAATGAAGACGAAAAAAAACGAAAGGAAGCTAGAGAATTCTAAGTCTTGCGCCCTTACGTCATTATTATGACGTTATTACATCCTTTACTCCATCTTTTCCCCACGGTAGTGTCAGTGGCGTTCTAACACTGCCACATCTTTTTCTTGCTTTGCCCCATACCGGTGATCAATCATTAGACCATCATCCCTTTTTCGGCCTTGCTTGGTTAATCATTTACGGAAGGATAGGCCTTCCACGGACTTAATTTTTCCGCCCAGTCTTCTTTTCCTGGTTTACCTTGGTCTTGGGATCTCTACAGCCGCAATTTAGCCACAATTTAGCCTTGGTCCTCTCCCGAAGGCTGATGTGGCAATTTCTCAATTAGGACTTCTTTGGGACTTTGCCAGGTCCGCTCCTTCTTAGGGTGAATTATGTCATGTGCAAATCAGGTAGTTTTTTTTTTTTTGACGTTCTCGTGACATCACAAGACTGGCAGTTTTGCCTCTGACACTATACAATAAGCACTATTCTCTATAGTTAAATATTTGTAAACCTATAGCTGTACCATAAAAAACTAAAACATAACTAAATAAGATGAGTGGCGCAAAACGCCACTCATCGCACTAGTCTCTATTAATATAATACTACAAAATAACAAATAATACGTAAAGCCTACAAAATAAACACCAAACAATTTCTCATTATAACTAATACAAATTTTTACCCGTTTTGCTATAAATTATATGAAACTGATACGACATACTCTATTCTAAATCCCTTTAAACAACTCAAGATGCTAGTTTCATAGTAAAAAATTTACCCGAGTCTGCGTGATAAATCGTGTGACTGATAAGTAAAACTCCGATACGCCGTTAATTGGCTCCAAAAGGCCTTTGTAATTCAAGATCTGTATATGTCACGGTCAGGATCGGTTCTCTGAAAGAAGCCGGGTCTAAACGATCAGTCGGGGTAATCATGCGGATAAGAATCAATTGATGGTGATTAAGGAAAATCGATTCATTATGTGATTAAGGCATGAGTTAAAATCGTAAGATTAATTAATTTGAGGAAGAATTGAAAATAAAGAAGGCAGTTACTTTCTTTCGCTCATAATCAAATAAAAAAATATTTTTCAAAAAACAATTACACATTCCCTCGTAAAGAGACCCTGATAACCCTGTTAGTTTGCGATAATATAATGAAAATAACGAAACAGAATTATAAATAAAACTCTTTATCTATTTTTTTCATTTCAAACTTCAAACTTCAAAATGACTGCTTTTAGTAAATTAACTCATCAAAATGAAGTTAGGGATAGTGTTGTCAAATTACAGGCTGAGGCCAAGAACGAGTTTGAAAATCAGGTATTCATAAAAAAAGCACCTGTCTTGAATTAAGGATATCTTTCATATTATGTTTGTAATATTTCAGGCAGAAAAAATCACGAAAGAGGTGGAAGATAAGAGTGAAGAAGAAATAGATGATTTTGTGCGTAATAAGTTTGTTAAGCTCAACGACATTTTCCTTGAAAATTCCAAGATGGTAGAGAATTTAATTATCAGCAGAAAACCTAAGAAACCAGTTAGAACGCCTCAACAAACAGATGAAAAATATAATAAAATATATAAAGGTAAACTTACTTTTATTGTAAATGATATGGATTGTTAACTACGTCACCTAACTTCACCTCACCATTAATAAGCCTATTTAGAGGAACTCGGTTTATACAAAGCTTTTGTTTCCTGGTGTACGAGCTTGATCGAGAAACTCATGAATTGGCTCAACGACCTATTCAATGAAATTATCACATTCTTTAAGAACCTGTGGACCTGGATCAAATCCAAGATTCGTAATATTTCTGAAAAGTAAATATTTATTGTCTGAATCGTATTTTCTTGTCTTATGGAAAATTTTAATTTAACATGTTCTTGTTTCATCATTAGTATCCAGAAGTTTGTGAAGAGGATGGCAAAGAAGTTTGATCATTTGACCAACCATCTCTTTTGTGAAGAGGATGGCAAAGATGTTTGATCATTTGACCAACCATCTCTTTTGAGTAAGGATAGATAGTTAGGAATAAGATCATATGTCCCTGTAACGATAACTTTACTTTGCGCATCAGTTTGTTCTTTATATAGAATTCTCATATGAATGTACCTAAATATCAATAAAATATTTTATAAAGTAGTTTTGCCATGTCTAACAATCGATTTTTAACCAATGTATGCTAATGCGGGTGGTATATATTGTGGCACAATCGGCAAAATTTTATGTATCGACAGCCCTAGCAACGTACAATATATATAATTATTAAATTAGTTGTATCAAAAAGTAACCCTAACTCGTATCTAATGTTCCCTTATTATGGAATAAATTCGAAGATCATAGAAATTTTGATTGTTCATCTATTGATTTTTTACGAATGTATTAAGCAAAAATACAAGCATGCTTAATGACTCTATTCTAAGTTTCCTTGTGCATATTGCTATAATTATTGTTTTACTACTCTTTTTCCTTGCACCTATTCAATTAATAAAAAGAAAAAGGATTTATGCCTATGGTATTGATCGCACTTCCAAAATTTGTCTCAATCTCATTAAAGAATTTGAAATGGTTCCGACCTTTACAAAAGAGCTCGTATCACTTATCAATGAACCACTTCTTGGAAAGTTGCCTGTGGCTTGCAACGAAGAGTATAAGGTTTGTGATGATCGTGCAAACAATTATTTTTGCCTTTACTTAAAAACAAAATCTCTTTTAGTACACTGGACTTTCAAATTTAATCTACACAAGCGAAGAAGATTGTCAAAGTGATATAGCAGTTCATATCAGCTCTACCTTGACAGAACAATTTGGTTATGATGTCACAGGAATTAAATCTGAAGATATGATGCATCAAGTCATAGATAATTTGATCAAAAATACGTTCTCCCTCTTTAGTCGCAATGCCAATCCGGAAACATTACAAATTGAATTCATTAGAAATGCTAAGTGAGTTCTCACATGTATTGTATTGGTTCTATTTTTATGCATAAGTGTCGTGCCTCAGATGAGTCTTTGCATCAGATTGCATTCACAAGGGTAGAATCACCACCCAAAAAATTTCAGCCCTATTTCGAAGTAAAATTTCATGCTATTAGGTTAGGTTAGGATCTTGTTTCTAGGTTTGGAGAGAAATAACTGTATCAAAAATTTACAAGTAACATTTTTTATTAATACGCAGAAGGCTCTTCATAGACTAAAATTTTAGTTATAAGAGATTTTTGACAAAACAAACATTTGGATTGAATTTTAGAAATTTGATTGCAGCTGACGCACCTCAGATGACCGGCATTAAATAATCTGCAATAATTGGCCCAAATTACCTCATGATTTTCACTCTAACCCTAATGCTAATTTAGGCTGGCGTCATCTGACACAAAGATTCATCTGAGGCACAACATACATTTAGTATTGAATATACTACTAACATTTAAATGTATCTATAATAATAAGGATTTGTCGCCCAGATTTCCTCCTCTACAATAAAAACGTACTTGTGCTCAAAGGAGAAGAGAAGTCCAGTTCAGAGATGTATAATGAAGCTTTAGACGATCTCTCTAAAAAATTTTATATGCTAGATCCATTGTTTTTTGGTGATATGAAGTTCCTTATCTACTCAATAGATTGAACATCATCAATACCAAGTCGTTTATTACACCTCGCGGGTATATACGACTTGCGAATTCCTAATCATCGGATTAAAGTTATCTCTTCGATTATCAATATAATACGTATTTTAATGACAATAAGTCCTTTTCTCCCGAATGAAGTCTTACCTAGTGTTGTGCAATGCGCATGACAAAATTATGGAATCATGCGCATGATTTTTTATATATTACATATAATGCTGGCAAAGCGATATAATGCTTGTATAAACTTATAATGCCAGCAAAATTTTTATAGATTCCGAAATATTCCGAAAGCAAATAAGAAATTCCGAAAATTCCCATGCGCATGAAACTTGAAAAAATCGGAATTTGCACAACACTAGTCTTACCTCTTGATAGACCACTTAAACTACAACCGAATTCAGTAATTACATTTGATTACACTTCAGTCACAAAAGATGTTTTAATTGATAACTTGCCTTATGTTAAAGATATAAATTCTCGCATTAAATTCCTATCATCTATGTACACTTGTGCAAAGGGATGCCTGAGTCTTGTACAAGTTGTGTAAAATTACCCTACTATTTGTCATGTTGAAGGAAGAAGGATGTATCAATTGATAATGAAAACTCGTGGAAAGAGAGTTTTGCCAGAGAATGAAAACAATTACAGATAATGACGAAACATGTACTCATCGAGTTGGAATGCCTACACAAGGGAGGTTTTGTTCATCGCGATATTAGATTGCCTAATATTTTGTATGTCACATCCGATAATCCAGCCAATTCCAGTTATGTCCTCATCAACTTTGAACATGGGGAAAATCGGGGGAGAAAATTACAGAGTGGTTAAAATGTTGGGATGATGGAGCATTAGAACGCAAAAGGTATACTAAAATGTCTGATATGTACCAGCTTGGGAAGTTGTCGGAGGAATTTCCTATTATGATTAAGTCTGAAGAAGGTCGGGACTTCATAGCTAAATTGAAAAGGAAGGTTTATTATGCATGCATTTATATAAAGGTCACAAAAGTTTATTTTTGCACATGAAAATAACTTGACCAAATAATTCCGCATGGTGTGAAACTGCACTAATAAAAGTTAACAATAAGTGGCGGGCGCATTTTGAAATTAAGTGAGAGTTTGAAAATCTTATTTGTCTGGAAAATTTTTATAATACTTCGTGAAAAAAAACAAATAAAAAGTAAAACTTTCGTTTAATTTGAAGTTAAGATAAGATCAGATTGCCGGATCACTTATTTCAACATCTATTTCAATTAAAATTAGATTTCCGCATTTTAACTTTGAAACCCCCAATATTTTTATTTTTCTGGTCTATTCAGAACGTCCAAATTATTATTATGAATTTTTGTCTAAATTTTTGAGCATTGACAGATATTCAATTAGAGAACTTTATTTACGTTACCATTTTTACGTTTATGTGGAAATATTTACCACAATTGAATGGGAAAATAATCAAGACTTGTTGTTTATTTTATATTGCGTCCGATCCTCGAATAATTCATTCGATGATAGTGAAAATTTGAGATTCTAAATTTCCTATAGATTATATATTTTATTTTGCTTTGTGACTCCATGATTTTTGTTATGATAATCGATGGAAATTTCGGAGATTTAGATTGTCTATTGATCATTTATAACGTATCTTTGTATCGTTTAAATCTATAATATTCTCTTAAAATACATCATGATCTACAGAGGTCACAGACCGCAATAATTAGTAACGTCTATATTTATTTGAATCTTTAAAGTTTCTGAGAATCAAAAAATCTGCTATAAAAACTATGAACTCATTTGAACCTGAAAAAAAAAATTCTAAATATTGGCTGAATTTTAAAGGCTGTTAAAGTAATGGTATTCAAACAAAGACTAAAGAAAAGCTCCAAGAAAGAAATAAATATGAAGCACGCATTAATTCACTAATGAGTTAATCAATAGCTATGAATGGTATATAAATTTAAAATTACTAAACTAGATATTGCATCTGCAGACAACTTTTCGTCTAGTCTTAATTACTTTACTTTAATAGAAATTCATATTAAAGTCATAACGGTAATAAAACTAAATTTTAAATAAATCATAGATTCCACTAACAATTTGACATTGCATAAGGAATAAACTTCCGTTACTAAACGTGTCTGCATGATATTTTCTTGTATTTATCTAAATTGAAGTTGTTGTTTACTAATTTTAACAAGATTTCGTACATTTAGGGGTTTCAGTATTAACTTATTTCGAAACTAAATGAGAGGTTTAAATTTCAGAATCAGAAAATTAAATGGGTGTAGCAGGCGATGAAATTAATTTCTTTTTAATAAATATCTACTACAGTAAAAAAAAAAAATATAGGATTTATACGTCACTTATTTGTAGATAAATATGTCACTTGTTTATTTAAAATCGGACGTCGATTCATTGATTTTGAAATCACTGTAATTCCATTCAGAACTTAAGTGAGATATGAAATTCGTATAAATTGTTTTATTCTTGCTAATTTAATCGATAGATTAGTTCTCATGTTATCTTTTTGCGAGAAATTGACCAGTCCCGAGTTTCAACCCAGTTTGGAATCCAAAATAGGTTAAATAATTTTAAACTCAAATGCTTAAATCAAAATCATTTATTATAAAACTCACCTATGGTGATTTTTGCACCTATAATATGTTTTATTATGTTTTTTAGATTTTCTAAGTTTTGAATACAAAAATTATCAACACAAAATTTTCATGTTCGTGCTAGTATTTAGGGTTAAGGTTTGGAAGGGTTTTTAGGGACGTAGAGCATTTTTACTTAGGAAACTTGCAATGATTAATTGGCCAGTTTTTGAGATAAAATATACACAGGTGTAAAACGCCATAGGTGCGTTTTAGTAAAAGTCAATAGAACCGGTTGTTATTTAGCTTAAACCGGTATTACACCTAAAGTTGACCTCTAAGAAACAACTTCGGGAACTAAGGGTTAATCTCACTTAAACTACTATTTTATGATTTGGCTGGATTAAAGAGGCGTCGTAGGACGACTTAGCAGAGAGGTTTTAATAAGGCTTTATTGAAAAAGGAAATCAACACGAACGTATATGAAGATACGTAGGGTTGCAACTAGAGATGTGCCGTAAGCATTATGCAGGCGATGTTGCATGCTTCATAATGCTGCATAATGCGATGCCAGTTGCCTAAAATTTAAAAATGCACATAGAAGTTATTATGTAATTTTGATTTATATCATTTCATCAACAATTACTTTATAGACATCTGTGAAATCCAATAAAAAATTAATTTACCAGGTCTGTTTTCACTATATAAATCTAATATTTTAAGTTTTCAAATCCGATAACCTCTCAGCAATAATACATAGGCTGTTCACTGCATATAGGTTTTAAGAGGTCACAGTATATTATACAGAACTGCATAATGTATCATGCGACATAATGCTGCATTATGCAATGCAAGGCCAAAAAAACTTGCATTCGCACATCTCTAGTTGCAACAACAGAAAGGTCATGAAGCACGACTGTACAATAAAAAGGGATCACGAGTCTCACGTGAATCCAAACTTAAGGAATTTAACATGTACGAAGACACGAACAAGTTTAGTTTATTAATAATAAGAGAATCTGTTCTGTTACAAAACAGAAACTGAATATAACAAATAGAGATATGACTAGAGATGTGCGAATGCAAATTTTTTTGGCCATGCATTACATAATGCAACATTATGTCGCATAATACATTATGCAATTCTGTATAATATACTGTGACCTCTCAAAACCTATATGCAGTGAACAGACTTTGTATTATTACTGAGAGGTTATCGGATTTGAAAACATAAAATATTAAATTCATATAGTGAAAACAGAACTAGTAGATTAATTTTTTATTGGATCTCCCAGGCTATGAATTTTATTGTCTATATAGTAATTGTTGATGAAATGACATGGATCAATATTATATAATAACTTCTATGTGCATTTTTAAATTTTAGGCAACCTGCATCGCATTATGCAGCATTATGTAGCATACAACATCGCCTGCATAATGTATACGGCACATCTCTAGATATGACTGTATGAAGACAGTCAAAATACAAAGGAGAATTCGAATAGGGCTATTAAGGGAATTATATGGAAAGATATAATTATTAAAGGAGATCGAAGTCTGAAGCAACTACTCTGAAGGCAAAAATGCGGTCTTTAAATAACAATCGCAGCCGTGTATTTAATTACAGTAGATAACTACTAAATCAACTTTATCTATCGATCTATCTATAACTTATCCCACTATTCTTTTCAACACCAACTCCTTCACTATTTCACGTGTATGCTTCGGATTCTTTATCTTTAATGGGCCTCAACCCGGCCTTGATCCATCACGATTATAATAATAATTTCGTGTGAAGCCTTAAGTTTGTTCATTTCTTGTTCATCTGCATGGATAACACAGGCTGTATAAGACTTTTGCTGAAATAATAAGGCCAATTCAGTAGTGGGATCATTGATGCAGTAGCTATTAGGCCCTTTTGGGACTTCCATTAATGTCGCAACATGCGCTGATGGCAATTAGAAGTGATGTGTATAGGAGTAACGATTAAGGCAATAGACACCTATGTAAGATATTACAGATTGGACATTAATGCGAATGTTAGTAAGACGATTAACCTTCGATCATTAATAATTGATGGTTTGGGAATTCAAGAAGATCATTGCTGTGGCAATTATATGCCATGCTGATCAAGTTCTTTTTAAGTTGTCGATATGTGACCTGTAGTCATTCCAACAATAACTTCAGGAGCAAAGTTAACATTACCCCTAGATATTCGTAGTCAGCTGTTAGGGAGTTCACGGGGCAATTTTCATGTAATACCAGTTTGAAATTAAACCAGATAAGAATCGGGTTGCGTGATTTAAATTTTTTTTTTTTTGTAATAGCAAAACTTCAAAAATCATTATCCATATACAATATGATAAATTAGCTTAGTTGCCAATTTCAGGCAGCATAATTTCAAGTGCTAATTTCAGGCATGACTAAACTATAGTATAGAGACTTTTCAATGAAGAGTAAAATTCAAAGATTTTATTTGTATTATGTATTAAAATAATGTTAATAACAATTGTTTAAAAAATTTGTATTGCAATTTATTAAGTTAAATTATATAAAGAAGCATTTTTCAATAGAAATAAATTTTGGTTTTGAAAACTTGATATACAATATTTAATAAGCAGAATTTAAGCTAAAGTTGAAGCTATTATAGTTGAAATATTTTAATATACTTACTATTCCACTTTAGAAATAAAAACTTATTTACTAAATCTGGTAATATTTGTGTTCTTTTTGATGTAATATGGTTATTAGCATCAGAAAATAATCTTTTAGTTGGAACTGAGGTTGCCGGAATTGAAAGATATTTTCTGGCTAATTGTGCAAGAATCAATAATTCATCTTTATGTAATTTTCACCATTTTATTGGATCTTCATTAAGCCCAATATTATTTGAAGTTAGATAATGTGTTACTTCATCCAGTTTAGTTAACTCTAATGCCTGACAAGGAATAGTTTTTAATTGATTAAAAAATTTGAAATCCTTATTATCTTTATTATTATTATGAATTAATAAAGTACTTGCTGAAATATTATTTAAAATTTAGTAACTCCAAAGCTGCTTTTCTCTCAATATAAAACCGTTTAAGTAAGCTTTTTGCATTAGCTAATTAATTTGGCGCCCATTGAAAAACCTTAAACTATGGATCAAGAATAGATATCAGTAATGCAATATTAGAAGGTATAGTCCAAAGTTCATCTAGAAACAAAAATATAGTAGCCCAAACTCTTTGTAACAAACCATTTGGACTAATAGAAGGCAAGTATTCAGTTTTATTATTTTCAATATTAGTGGTTTGTTGTACTTGTTTTTTTGATTTAAATTTTCTTTTTACTCCAACTTTCTTTTTCCCTCATCCTCTTCTTATATTTTGCCGAGATTGTCTATAAGTATACTGCCAATGTTGACGAGTTTCACAACTTGGCACATTATTATTGTCACTAACTGAGCTTGAACTCTTATCTGTACTTTTTTCATTATCAGAATTATGACTATAAATTAGATCAAGATATTGCTGTTTTGTTTCTCCTTTATCTAACTGTGGAGCAAATAACTTTTTAAGAATTTTTATGTATGGATATATAGTACTAAATGTTAGATAATTTATACCAGAAATACAACGTGTAATTTTTTCTATAGGTGCTAACATATTAACTATATCTTGAAGAAATCTATAATAATAATAAGTAAAAAGTTAATTAAAATTAAAGATACAAATATAATTATTTATATTAAAAAATTTTGTATATTATATAAACTTTTCTTAAATTTATTTAAATAAACTCACTGTTGTTCATCTAATATAAGATATAATTGATTTAGTTTTTTACTCTCCCTTTGTATAGTTTGATTAGAATCCAAAAATAATGAATTAGAAACATGACACATTGTATTGTGTAGCTCTAAAACATGTTTTCAAGTATAATAGACAGAATTCCAATGTGTTTTTGTATTATCTAAAACATCTAGTAGATTAATATATTTATCATTTAATTGAGAAGATGGATTAAGCTCATTTTGAGCTAGACGAAGTCTTTTAGCTTGTTTTGGAAGTCTAAAAAAGGTTTGTAAATTTTTTACTTGTCGATGAATATACTTGCATTGTTTAAGTCCTTCTAGCACTGAAAGCTGCAATATATGAGCTGCACATGGTTGTCTAATTACTTGTGAAAAATAATTTTCTGAGAGTATATTGGTTCCACAAATCATATTAGATCCGTTGTCAGTTATAATTGTATAAACAGAACTTTGTAAACCCCATTTATTAATCACATTATATAATTCTTGACTAATGATTTCTCCTGAATGTGGATATGCCAGATGTTTACACTTTAATAAAACTTCTCAGAATTCAAATTCTGAAGTTAGCCAAATTCCTGTTATTTCTATATATCTATGTCATGACTTTGAAGTCCATAAATCCGTAGTTAAATGAATAGCTTCTAAATTTGTATTCAGAATTAATTTTAGCTAATTTTTACATAAATGATATACCTGATAAATCATAGTTTTTGCTATTTTCATACATGGGATTTCATAGCTAGGCACACAGGTCTTCATTAAATTGCAAAAAGATTCATCATTTAAAATATATAATGGTTCAACAAATTTAATGATGACGGTAATTAATTTATGAGTAATTAAATTTTGTTGATCTGGTGATATTATATTATATACACTATTCTTTGTAATAATTGGATTTAACTAAATAATTTAAATTAATTAATATAAATATATATATAGTAATATTTAAAATGAATTAAATAAAAATTACTTCATTATTGTTATCTAAAAATTCTTTAAAATTTATCTTCGTAATATTATACTTATCTTGTAGATGACCAATCAAGTTAGAAGTATTTCCACCTTTTTTGATATATGGATAAGGCTTTTTATCACTTCCGGCTAAGTTTTTCTTGCAAATTTTACAATAAACAATTAGGGAATTTGGTTCACATTCCGTGAAAAAGTGAGTAGTATAACTTTGATTGCTTCGTGGCTTCTTTTTTTTTTTGTTTTTCTTTATTATCTGTAAGTAAAGAGTCAGAAAGCTGACTATCATATGATGAATTAAAGATTCTGAATGAGACATAGTCTGTGAAATTAGAAGGTAATCATTTTTTTCTTATTTTGATAAAATGTGAAATTAGAAGGTAATAGTTTTTTTTATTTTTTTTCGAAATTAGAAGGTAGTAGTTTTTTTTATTTCAATAAAAAGTAAAATGATAAAAAATAATACAGTTGTTAATAAAGAAGTAATATATTACGTATTAATTAAGCAATTACATAATTATAAGAAAAAATTATGTAATTTTAACTTACGTATTTTGAAATCAAAAATAAAACCGGTTTGTCGGAGTTTTGTAACTGAATTATAGCATTACAAAACCAATTTAATATAAAACCGAGTTAACCCAAATTTATAGTCAAATTTTATTAACCGGTTCCAACCTCTAATTACCACTTTCAGCAGATTTCAAATACCACTCAAATGCCTTTTGTTCATCTTTAGCTGTGCCTATACCATCTTGATAGCATTTACCAAGATGAAATTGTCCATACGAATTACTATTCTCTGCAGATGTGCCATATGCATTATGTAGGTGATGTTGAATGCTACATAATGTTGCATAATGCGATGCAAGTTGCCTAAAATTTAAAAATGCATATAGAAGTTATTATGTATTTTTGATCTATAACATTTCATCAACAATCACTTTATATACACTTGTTTCTATCAATATCAATAGCCTGTGAAATCCAATAAAAAATCAATCTTTTAGATCTGTTTCTACTATAAAATCTAATAGTTTATGCTTTCGAATCCGATAACCTCTCAGTAATAATACAAAGTCTGTTCACTGCATATAGATTTTGAGATATACGTACAGGATTACATAATGTATCATGCGACATAATGCTGCATTATATGATGCAATGCCAAAAAAACTTGCATTCGCATATCTCTAGTCTCTATACCATTATCATAGTATTACCAAGGTTATTTTGTCTTTTTAAATTTCCTTTTTTTATTTTTGGCTGTGCCTATGCTATTTTGATAGCAGAGCCCAAGATGAAATTGCCCATATGAATTACTATTCTCTGCAGATTTTAAATACCACTCAAATGCCTTTTGTTCATCCTTAAATATCCCTATACCATTTTTATAACATTGACCAAGGTTATTTTGTCCATATGAATTGCCACCTTTAGCAGATTTCAAATACCACTCAAATGCTTTTTTTTTATTTTTGTCTGTGCCTATGCCATTTTGATAGCAGAGCCCAAGATAAAATTGTCCATGTAAATGACCACCTTCAACAGATTCAGATACCACTTAAATGCCTTTTCTTTATTCTTAGCTGTGCCTATACCTTTTTCATAGCATTTACCAAGATGAAATTGTCCATACGAATTACCACCTTCGGCAGATTTTAAATACCATTCAAATGCTTTTTTTACATTTTTTGCTGTGCCTATGCCATTTTGATAACAGAATCCAAGTTGAGATTGTCTATCAGAGTTTCTACCTTCGGCAGATTTTAAATACCACTTGAATGCCTTCTTTTTATCCCTGATTGTTCCTATACCATTTTGATAGCAAAATCCGAGACTGGTTTGTCCCTTAGAATTGCCACCTTCAGCAGATTTCAAAAACTATTCAAATGCCTTTTTTTCATCCTTGGAAGTGCCTATGACATATAGGTAGCATTGTCCAAGGTTATTTTGTCCTTTCGAATTGCCACCTTCTGCAGATTTTAAATTCCACTCAAATGCTTTTTTTTTATTATTGGCCGTGCCTATGCCATTTTGATAACGGAATCCAAGATTATATTGCCCATCCGAATCACCAGCTTTGGCAGATTTCAAATGCCACTCAAATGCCTTTTTTTTATCCTTATTTGTGCTCATACCATTTTGACAGCAAATTCCAAGATTATATTGTCCATTCGAATTGCCACATTCTGCAGATTTCAAATACCACCAAAATGCCTTTTTTTTATCCTTACCTTTTTCAAAGCACAATCCAAGATAATTTTGTCCATTTGAATCGCCACCTTCAGCAGATTTCAAGTGCCACCCATATTCATTACTTTTGTCCATAGAAAGTTTTAAACGCTTAATATGTAATAGCCTTACGTGATTGATTACACTGTTATAATAAATTACCATATACAAGACTGGATACAAATCACAAAATATATATTAATCAAATGCAGTGTTTTTCAAATAGCTAGACTGCCTATTATTAATACAAAGTGTATATGCACTTGAATTTTTATCGTTTTATGATATAACCTCTTAGTGTGTACTAGACCCGGGTATATCATATGGCTTAAAAGTTGGTGAAATGTAACAGACTCATACAGTATTTTCAGTAATTCTGAAGCATTTATTAAAATCATTCAAACATGTTTTTTAGTGCTAATTGGTCTACAATTACATGAACAGTGTTCGAAGAGTTCTTCGCTGCGACCCGAACAATTAGTTTAAAAAGGAAAGGTCAATGTATCTATGTTGTCTAAGTCATGTGCCACATGACTTTTGGGGAACGTCTAAAGCATATAGTTTTGATTATTTTGATTTAAATAGGGTAAAGGTTAGGGGCTAGGATTAAGAGATGCTTTACAGTAAAATTGTTCTCCAACATTTTTGTTAATAACTCGAGATATGTTTAGACATTTTTTCCTCTTCGGGCTGATACGTGTTGATCAAAATAAACAACTTCATTGGCTCTATGCCCGTGATTGGATAGGCTTTAGATGATCTTTTTTTGTATAAATCAACCAATCGGAGTCACGAAATTTTGTTTATACCATATGGGCCAATTTCAAATTTGCAACAATCAAATAAATTTGTCTATTTGTCTTACGCTAAACATCAATCAGATGATTAGATTAACATATAGTTCAAAACAAACTGAATGTTTTCCTATATTCGGATATGCGGTGTTCTCATATAGCAGTAATACGATAATACAAATTTAGTTAAGATTTTTTTATTTATTTTTATTAGAATATTCCCCATTAGGTTCCTGATCCATAATCGACAAAACATTTGCCATGAATACTCTTTTTTGATAAGATCTACTATTACGAATTAGAAAAAAAATTCGTGGTGTTTTTATATACTCCAGTACTATTACTCTACTATTTCCCATTCTAAATTATACTCTTTATCAAAATTCGACACTCTTTATCATGTCTAAATTACTCTAGAGTACTGCCCGCCCACCCACCTTACGAATTTAAATTAAATATATAGTTTTTCTTTTCGAATAAACAGCCATATTATTTTGGCTTTACTATTTTTTTTTTCTCCGATAACAGCCACATTATTTTTGGCTTATATCATTTGTTTTTGAATTTCTGAATAAATGCCACTTTTTTTTTTAACTAAAAAAAAAAGATTTTCGATAACCGTACTATTATAGTAAAAATAAATGCCGCCAATATTGTATATACTTTTTCCCTTTTTTTGAAAAAAACTATTTTAAAGTAACTGCTATTATAATGGCTTAGGCGATGTAACTCCAATACGTGTCAGTAATAGCGTGTATACTTTTGTTTTTTTTTTGATAAAAAAAAAAGTTTTTTTTATTTTTACATAATTATCACAATAACTAACTAATAATATGGCTTAGAATAAATACTATTTAACATAATATATATACTGATGCAAAAATATTTTCGGATAACCACCACCTCTGTGTCTTAGTATATATGCCCTAGCGATTTAAGCCGTAAGGTTTTAGTCAGCTGGCTAAGTCAGCCGACTAAAATATTGGCTAATCGGCTGGCTAGCAGCTAACAAATAACATACTTCCAGAAAATTTTGGTAAACTTTCCAAAAATTTGACTTGTATTTTATGTTTACTTATTTTTCTTCTCGGAATTCTGCATTAGCCAGCTGATCATATTACATTGGCTGGCTCAGCCAGCTAAGCCAGCTTAGCCATGGCTACCATAGCCGGCTTAAATCACTGTATGTACATAAAGATCACTGTCGATCCAAATATAATAAATAGTTTTAAGGACTAATCTAGAGATCGCACCCCTGCGTAGCACTTTTATTTCGCACCTGGGGTGCGATACACTTATATATTGCAAACAGCACTAGCAATATATCGCAACCAATCAAATCATATCACATGCTTACATGAATATCTGGTAAAGAAGTAAAGAATTGCCAAATGATATTCGTGATTTTGGTAATGATCGATTATGTAATAATGCAATGAAAAATCAACTTTGCATAGCCTTATCGTTATATTTAGAACCTTATGTATTAAAACCCATTATATACTAATCATACCCCAAATCAGTGCTGAATCAAGAACTTATCGAATTGGCCACATAATAATTCGATCAATTGCACACCAAAAGCCCAAAATTTATAGAAACAGCTAGTAATTTATTAAAGAATAAATGTATAGATCGCACCCTGCGATACATTTAGATATCGCCTGACCAATAGAATATATATCGCGTGATCAGGTAAACTATGATGTGTCAACATCTGTTTTTTTTTTTCAGTACTTTCTCTTTAATTCTTGTTAATTTCACCATAGTCCTTTTTGAAGTTGTCGCTTCGGTGTTGCCTTTTTGGAGTTATTGTGTCTTGTTGAAATCATCGTTGGAGTTGCCGCTTTTAGAGTCATCATTTTTAGTATCTTTTTTTAAGCTTTGTTCTTTTTTTGTTTTTTACTAACTTTCATTTGTAGTTCTTTTGAGTCGTCGTGATTTCAGTATACTGTCTTTTCCGGTGCTTCTTCATTGTCTTTGGAGTTGTTATAGCTTTTGGAGCTTTTGTTGAAATCATCGTTGGAGTTGTCGCTTTTGTTGGAGTTTTCATTTTTGGCATCTTTTTTCAGCTTTGTTCTTTTTTGATTCTTACTAACTTTCATTTTTTCTTTTGTAGCTCTTCTGAATTGTCGTGATTTAGGTCTTTGGAGTCTTAGCTTTCGGTGTTTTGTTGCTCTTTTGGACTATCATCGTTGGAGCTGTCGCTTTTGTGTTATTGTTGGAGTTTTCGTTTTTGGCATCTTTTTTAGGTTTTGTTTTTTTTTGATTCTTACCAACTTTCGTTTTTTCTTTTGTAGCTCTTCTGAGTCATCGTGATTTCGGTCTTTGGAGTCTTAGCTTTCGGTGTTTTGTTGCTCTTTTGGACTATCGCATTGGAGTCATCACTTTTGGTATCGTCATTGGAGTTTTTGTTTTTGGTGTCTTTTTTAGGCTTTGTTCTTTTTTGTTTCTTACTAACTTTTGTTTTGTCTTTTGTAGCTCTTTTGAGTCATCGTGATTTCGGTCTTTGGAGTCTTAGCTTTTAGTATTTCATTGCTTTTTTGAACTAATGTCGTTGAAATTGTCATTGGAGTCATTACTGGAGTCGTTGTATTTGGTGTTTATCTTTAGTCAATGGTTGTTTTTTTTGATTTTCATTTTGCTTCCGTTGTTTTTTTTGAGAAGCATTATTTGTTTATATCAGTTATTTTAGAAGCATCAGTTCTTTTCTGTTCTTAAATGTTGAGTTTTGGGTTTTAGAAATTAGAATAAGATCTGTGAGTGTGTTAGGGTTAGAGTTTAGAGTATTTTAATCTCAAAATGTTCATTATGTAATAAATTTGTAATTCTGATGTTTGTTATATAATTTAATAAATTACCAGCTGTTCCTATAAATTTTGGGACTTTTGGTGTGCAATTGATCAAATTATTATGTGGCCAATTCAATAAGTTCTTGATTCAGCACTGATTTGGGGTATGATTAGTATATAATGGGTTTTAATGCATAAGGTTCTAAATATAATGATAAGGCCATGCAAAGTTAATTTTTCATTGCATTATTACATAATCAATTGTTACCAAAATCACGAATATCATTTGGCAATTCTTTACTTCTTTACCAGATATTAATGTAAGCATGTGATACAATTTGATTGGTCGCGATATATCACTAGTGCTGTTTGCGATATATAAGTGTATCGCACCCAGGTGCGAAATAAAAGTGCTATGCAGGGGTGCGATCTCTAGATTAGTCCATTTATTTAATGTAAACATGTCTTTTAAAATAGTATAAATTAATTAGAAAATTATAAACCGGGAATCTAATCAGTAGTATGTACGTATATTTTTCTTGATAAAAAAATTTTTGTCATTGGTTGTATTCTCAAATATCACATATGACAAAATCGAATGGAAATAAATTGGCCCATACTGTAGTCAGATATTTATCTGATTGGCTGATGTAAATCAATTGCCCAAGTGATTTATTTATATAGTTTAAAGTATATAATGTTTCTCTAACAAAAAATCACTGTAAAAGCTTTTCTAATTTGGAAAAAATGTCTATATTCATTGTACAAAATAATCAAAAATAATGAGTAACCCAAGAACTTTACTTAAAGGTGAATATTTCGAAATCGAAACTATATATAAAATCCCAAAACCTTTTACGAAACTCTAGACTATACTGAAAGGGTTAGAATTTTAATTTTAGAATTAAGATATAAAGTACATGATAATTAGATTGCATTTCAGAAATGTTTTGGTTACTTTATAGCAAATGTGCATTAGTTATTAACATTCTAATTTGAAGGCTTCGGAAAAGTTTCGGGTCACAACTCTAGTACTAGTCATATTGACTATATAAGCAATAATGGAAATGGTTAACAAAAAAAGAAGATTGAGACATTATATATAAGATCTAAATCTAAAAAACTTTGTTGATACTATTTAACATGTTATTTTAACAAAATCATACACTAATGTTATTATTATGACCTGATGCATGATGATAATCGTGCTAAGGTTATTATCATGAGGATTGTCAGTCCTGGTCCCATTTGAGTCTATGATGACATTTTGACGTATGTGAAACATATGGATATAAATTAGAGGCAATTGGGTAATTGTAGGTCTCTTAGTGCTTTTTTCTTCGCTGCCCGACTTTGGTCTGGCTTTTTTTGTTTATGTTGTCTATAGTGCCTTTTTCCTCACAGAAAACATACTTCATATTATATACGTTTCTTATATTCTTTACTTTTCTTTACTTTTTCTCCCACTTTTTGACTAGAAACATTCAAAAAAAAAAAAAAAACTGGGAATGAAAAAGAAGAAATATGTCAGAATCAAATCTATCAAAGGGTGATTTGGAAGAACTTTGCCATGCGGTTGGTGTCTCTACTGAAGGTGTAAAGGCGGACCTGGTACAAAGGCTAAAACAACTTTCAAGTGTAGTGGGCCAAAATCCAAATAACATCGAAGAAGTTGGTGAAACAAGTGTGGGAAATTGTGATGTCGATGAACATGAGGATCACGTGG